GATTGATAAACTGAATGTCCATCCATCCATCCATCCTTTCCCAGCCACCATGAGTAGCAGCCCGGCCACCTGGCCCTCGCTCATGAGCTCCCTCCCCAGGTTTGTCTCCTGGGCGGGGCTCCAATCTCCCCAGTCTGGGTACTTGTCATGAGGGTCTATGTGAATCGCATTTGCCTTGGGAGATGCTTTGGGAGGGCTGGATGGATGGATGGATGGATGGATGGATGTGCAATTCAGTTTATCAAGCAAACTTGTATGGGTCCTTAAAGATGCATGCCAACTAAAACTAACATTGTATGGCATAGAATTTTATATAAGAAGAAAAGAATATTTTCAGGTTAGTTGCAGGTTATAATTATTTGGTGATGTAAAATTACAAGATCAATTATATGGGCATCAGAATTTAATTTCATATTGAGGCTTTTACATCCTTTGCTGACCATAGTACATTTACAAATGTAAATATTATGATCCAAAGTTTGATCCTCATACTGATTTTGCATATATTTTTTATCAGATTAGCAGCCTGGGGCAGCACTGGCTGAGCCTTCCAGGACATGTGACCAGATCACTGAATTAGCCCCTCCTCTTCAATGCCAGCTCCACCAATCACTGACGGGTCATGTGACCACATCCTGTAAAAAGCTACTGCCTGGTCTTGGACTATGATGGACAGGAGCTACACGCACCCTTTGGGTGTGGATGGTAACAGCTGATTCTGATTCACAACTGAAAATGACTAAATGAGTGAGGACGCGCGTTCTTAAAAGCCTCAGGTTTTCTGTGCCATTTAGTTTGTAAAGTCTGCTGTCGTCGGGCAGAGCCAGTTAGCCGGTTATTGAGGCAGGTCAACCTTTAAATGTCAGCTGCTCATTTCTCCCACTGAACTAAAAGCCAGTGGCTTCCAGGAGAGTCCATTGATGCTAGAAGCTCTGGGGACATGGAGCCGTCGCTACGGATTCATTATGACCCCCAGATGTCCTGCTGCATCATGAGAGTATAAATCTGTGTAAATGTGAATTTTTACAGTTAGGCGTGACTGAGGGTGGTGACGGGTGCGTTAAAATTGTCCTGTGCCCAGCTTGCGTCGTTCAGTCGTTCCTCTCTCCAGATGGCTTATTTAATTTCTTCCACAACCGATCACTACTCTGTAGGTTCTAGTACACAGTGCTGTACACAGTACTGTATACTCTACCGTAGTAATGACTCCTACACCTGGAGTAAACAGGGGACGCGCAACTCTTCTGCAAAGCCTCACTTTTTGGGTAGGAGTAGCTGGTTATGAGAGGGACGTGACCCTATTTTTAAGCGTAGGTCTTTTTTTCACATTGGCCCATGCCAGGTTATGCTGATTTTTGTGGGAGGGGCTACTTTTATTGTGTTCGCAGCATTAAACTTTTAGGCAGTTATTTTTAAGCTTAACCTTACAGAGAAATTCTGAGCTGATGTGCTTTTTCTTTCCTGATTAGGGAAAGTCTGCGTATCTTGAGAATCAGCTGAATGTTAAAACGGAGACCGTATTTGCAGCTGCTACTTCAGCATAAAAGCCAAGCCGGATATCTTTCACCGCCGGGCTGGGCTGCCCTGAGCGGTTCCTAGAAGTAGCTGAAACCCCTATTGTGGCACGTCGTTTAGCCAATATTTTCATTCGGGCCGTCGCATGCCGGTGGGCGTCCGGTTAGTGTGCACGCAGTGCAGCGGAGCCAACAACGCATGCGATGGTGCAGCAGTGGAGGGGGCGGGCACTGGCAGGCTGCTTGGCCGCCTCGCTTGGGTCCTGGTCCTCCTGGAACTTCTGCGAGTGGCTTGGAAGCTGTTTACCCCTTTATATCTCTCCGTGCTGACGTCCGAACGGCGAACAATGTCATCAAATTTCCTGTTTTTCACTTTAGTGGAGAGTCACTCTTCCAGTTTGTATGAAGGGCTTTTGTGGCCAGCAGGTCCACAGGGCTGGATATCCCCAATCGGCAGGATATGGGGTCAGAGGCTACACTGCTAAGTAAATAGAGTAGGTGCGTGCCACTCAGCTGTGCTGTCATCCCCTGCCTGGGAATATTGGGCCCTGCTAAAGGAGTAATCCAATCCTTTGGCAAATGTGGCGTGATAGGAATTGTAGCTGTCTTCACGCCAAGGGATTTAAAAAGAGCCTGTTATTGTTGAGGGCAGCAATCAGAGCGAATGTTTTTGGTTTCCGTCAGGCTGAGTAGCGTTCACGTGCTTTTGTGTGCCGGAGGTGCGGACTTCAACCTTACGTGAGTCCTAAGGATAGTGAGAAGTTTTTTTGTTTTTAGCTGCTTGGATTTAAAGAGGCATTCCATCCCAAAAAATGATGTTGGGCTAACTCTAGTAAGCCACCAGACAATGGCCAAGGTATCCAGAGGAAACTGTGTTACGTACACAACCGGCAGAGGAACGGCTCTTTGTTTCCTGGAAAACGTCATCGTGTGACACTTCTCTTACGATGCGTGTGACTTGCGGAGAGTAGAACGTGTATGTTTGGCAAGTCGTCGGTGTTTCTTAGCTCGGCAATCCTTATGTGTCATGGTGTTTACATTTGCCCATAATTCTTGGTGTTAGGAAAACAAAAAAGCTGAACTGTCAAGAAGTAAACCAGCCAAATGTGGAGAGATCTATGCATTACAGAGAATTTTGGGAGCCTTTTCGGTTGGATTTTGAGAACTAGATGTGGCTATTAACTTCAGTTTTTCCATCTCAACACATTGACCCTCACTACTTTTGTGAGTACAGGACGAAAAAGAATCTTGCTTACTCTGTGTTAACTCACGTATCAGATGTACACATAATCTATTATTTTGCTTGCCTGTAGGGTACCAACAAACTGCTTATGCGAAGGTGCAAAGTGCCACGATAGAACACAATTATAACCTCTCAACACCATTGATTCACTGAGCCTTGACGACAAACAACTGCATTTCAACAACTAACCAAAACAAACAGCTGCTAAATCCATGCATAATACCTTCTGTTAGCTAGCCAGGGAAAACACTTAAAACGTAATTTATCTAATGCAAGAGAAGTCATCTCTTTTTCTCACTGGCATAGGCTACGTCCACACAGCTTTGTTTTTTTTAAATGCAGACATAAGTCTCCTTTTCCACCCTTCGTCCACACTACTCCAGAGTTTCCAGCCCCCAAAAATGGAGACTTTTGACAACGCGCTCAGAGCCGTATACTTCTGAAAATTCCGTTTTAGCATTGCAGTGTGGATGAGTGAAAACAGAGACATCTGAAAATGCAGACTGTAAAAGTGCCATAATTGGTCACTGCTCATCACGTGGCCCATCCCTGATTGGTCTGATTGGTCACCTGGTCACCCTACATGGAAGTATAAAGTATTCCAATATGGCGAATATGGTGGAGCCACTTTGAATGGCGCTGTCCCTGTCGCTGACCTGTATGCAGCTACACAGCATTTTACTCAATGTGACTGCTGCATATTTGTGCAAAAAAGAAACTGTGTTGATGTGCACATGCCCAATGTAGACTCATAGCTGTGTCATATTTTTCAGGTTTTCACTGGTTTCAGTGTGTATGGAAATCCTTCTGTAAACAATGTGAAAACGCCTGTGTGGATGGTGATTGTTTTTGTTTGAAAACTTCATTTTTAAATGAAAACATGACAGTGTCAACATAGCATAGATGTTCAAATTGCCAAATAATTTGCAATTTCAATGAAACACCCCCCATGGCTTGTACCATAGCTTTTCTCATCCTGATTGGCGCAGATCTCTGTGTTGCAGTTTGTTCTTTATCACCGGAGGGATGGACATATGTAAAAGCTGGGTACATCACGAAGGCCCAGCTGTGTCTGCCAGACAACATTGCCCAGAATTCTGTTGAGTCTGTCGCCATCGGTGAATGGAGGACATCCTTCCCGTGGGATGACGCTCTGTTCAGCCCCTATTCGTCCATCCCTGGACAGGAGACGACTAACCAAGCTGTATCTGGTGTTCAGTGTAATTACGCTTTTGTGAGGTTTTAGGGTTTTGTTTCTTTGAAATTGTTTTACATTATGTAAAAAACATTTTTAAACATTTTTTAAGCTTAAACATATTTGACAGGAAGAGGTGCAAAATATAGATGGATTTTTTTCTGACAGTACAGAAATTTTATTTGATTGACTTAAAAATAGCTGTGGGACAGCTTAAAGGCATTGGGAGGTTGCGTTTGAAGCTGATGGGTGCGTCATTCTGGGAATGTGCTCACCGAAAGCACCGATCAAAAACGAAGGCCGCTTTCGAGTTTCAAAGCAGTCTGAGGCTGCGCAACTCAGGCATCGCTGTCAGATTTCAGCTCTTGTGTATCAGCACAACCCCCCGACCGCCCCTGGCTGAGTGATTGCCGATATACTGTCTGCCCCCTTAGCCTGTCCCGCATGTGCCCCACGAGCAGGTACTGGGTTTGGCATGTGCCTATCCTCGGAATCCTCGCCTCTCATTGATAGAAGCGGTACTTTTTCAAGGGGGTGGGGGGGGGCTTCTGTTTTGTAAGCAGTGATTACACGCGTTCAGAGTCTTTCTCACATGCCCAGTTTGTTTACTGAGAGCTGGAATTCTGCAGGGAATGCTATCCAGCGGAGGACTGTGTTTCCATGGTTACTAACCCCTGTGCGGCGTTCCATTAGGAGGAAGGAAGCTAAATTATTAGCAGGCAGAACATTCTTTTCTTCAATTGGAGCAAACTCTGATCTCTTCTGTTACCTTGCTCTTCTGCTAATTGCCAGAGAATTTAAATGTATTTGATATCCCACATGCTGATTTTAGGGATTATGGGAAGGTGGCGTCCGTCTGCAAATGTGTGTACAACTAGGTATAATGTGAGTGAAACCCGGCCACTTCATTTTGCAGTTTCCGTATGAAATAATATGGATGTGGGGATTTAACAGTGATGTTTAAATTAACGGTTGAGATGGTTTAAAGGGGTCAGGCTTAGGAAGCCGTGCTTATGAGTATACATTTTTATGACTGTTTGTCTTGCAGGCCACATTCACAGAGGTGCAGTTCGGACCAATGAGGCTTTACGAAGATCAGCTTCAGGTATCGTCTCGTCTCGTACCTGGGACTTGTGACCCTGAAACTGCTGTTTAAATTCTGTCTTTGTTTGTACCTGGACATAATGTCATCGCTGATGTGTGTGTGTGTGTGTGTGTGTGTGTGTGTGTCTTGAATGCAGGGACCTGGAGAATTTGCCCTAATCATAATCTAAAATCGGAATCCATGATCTGTGATAGGCCTGTTCAGAATCCCAAACCCGTGGGTGTTGTGGAACTTTCACAACATTCGGAAAACAAAAGACAGTCTGACTTGTATTTTGACATGGTGTCTTTGGATTTCAATAGTGTCTTAGCCATGTTAAAGAAGTAAGTGCTCTCTCCTCTGGAATGTGAAGGAAGGCACAGTCCTGGGGTTTGCTGCGTAACACTACAACCTCCTGTTTTTTTTTTTGCTCAACTGACCATTAATACTGTGCTTCCCAGACGTCTTTCAGTGTTGTAAACAATCCCCAATCCTATCAAGCTCTTAATAGGCCCATTGTGTAAGCCACACTTTCCTGCTGCCCAGGCAACCAGGGCCAAAACGAGTTAGGATGGACATACCATAATGAACAGTGGACTTTATGAATGCTGTGCTGAGAGTGTGGGGCCTGGTGTCACCGTCATGGCTAAACCGCTGGCTGCGCTCAGTCGTTCATCGTATTGTGCGTCCTAAACATGCTCCCCCCCAACTCATGGCTTGATGTGAAATGCAAAGTTTTATTTATCAGGGTTGTATTTTGTTTTGGTTCCGTCTCTGTTCATTCAGTTCAGTTCAATTCATTTTTATCTACTGCCTTTCACAAGTGTCTCCCAAAAGCACTTTACATAGCGTGTGTTGTAATACATGACTACACCATTTATACAGAACAATACATGAAACAGGGAAAAGGGGAAGACAGAAAGAAGGAATGAAACAATGAAAGGAAGAAAAACAGATCACATGATGAGAAATGCCAGCCTCTTTGTGGGACTGGCACCTGAAAACAGAAAGGGTACGGCTAGTGTGGTCCACTATGTTCTGGACATGCATGGGCAGTATAGAATGATTCAGTGTAAGGGTTGAACGTACCTTTGCATATGTTTCTCTGCCTTGAAATTCAGCTTTTCTTTTGTTCTTAAGACTACTGTCAGAAACAAAGTTATATGGGGGATATTGGTGGGTGCAGCATAGTGCAGGCCAGAGGGAGACACATCCTCCGTTAACGGAAATACTTTCAGGCAATGTTGCGGGCTACCAAGGGGGCCTCGATGCAGCTTCACCTGAAAGCTGACACTCTGCATATAATTACAGGAGGAAAATGAAACTGGGAGATTTCCCTTTCCTGTTTTTGTCATTTTGGCTCCACGGATGATCCCGATTATGCCCTCCCTCTCTCACGAGGTCGACACATTTTTATACAACTGATCACTAATACATGTCTCATCCTACTTTTTAAATATGAGCTGACAGCCATGTAATTCTAATGTATCAATTTGTGCCTGACTTTTCAAAGATGTTTTTTTTTTTCCCCCTAAACTTGCACTAAACAGAACAGACCTTTCTACATCCAGTCTATTGAACTAAAATCTTTAAAACTTGTCGTAATATTGTTTTCAGTCAGCAAAATTTCAAAAACTTTGTCTTCCCCAGGTATTCAGGACGTAAAATAATTTGTGACGCCTGACCACAGAGACTCGATAATATTCTGAATATGCTGTCAATTGAATAAACAGCTCTGATATGTGAGATACATAATTAATACATTAATAGTATTATTTAAAAATAACAGATTGAATGCATTTCTTGTCCTAAATGTTATAAATTATCTTTGACAGTTATGTATTTAGAGTCATTGCAGCAGAGTAAAATATGGAACATATAGTAATCCCTAATGACGTTCCTGAGAATCTGCAGCTTTCTGACAGAATTTCAGCTTGTACTGTTAGATTGTTAAGAAAAAATATCAGCATAAAATCTGATCATTGTGTGTGTGTGTGTAACAAATAAAGTGCACGATTTTGTGTCTGCAGGGCAGCCAACTTGCAAGGTCAGTTTGACCCACACGACGTAGGAATAAATCTACTTGTGTTTGAGTTTTAGCCTGAATATACAAATCGTTTATGATTCTTAGAAAAGCAACCATCATGAAATCGGGCTCGGGAATAAAAAGCAAACGTTACTGCTAAGGTTCCGATGGCGTCTCGCAGCTGTGCTGCAGACCCCCAGCTCCCCGGACCGGCTCGCCGCGTTACTGCCCGTGTCAGGATGACGTCTGGTTATATTGCAGTGACTCACCAGTCCCGCGCGCTCCGGGCTGGCTCCGTGCGTGTGCGTGAGTGAGTGAGTGAGTGAGTGAGGGGTCACGTTAAAGCGCTTGGCAGGACTGCGTGTGGCTGGCTGCCGGCTCGACTTGCCGGATCCACGTCAGCCTTGGTGGCCGTGACCGAGCGGCAGGAACGGGCAGCTGCCATGCCAGGCAGTCAGGGATTCCATTTTCCACCATGATTTCCAGAGGCTGCAGCCATGGGCTGAGCGGGAACAGGGCTGCCCCCCCCCACCCCCCCAAATCTCCCTTCTGTAGCCTGTATGCGGCGATTACCCTCGCAGATCTCTCTAACCTGTGCCCTTCCCTGACACCCCCCCCTGCCCCCACTCTAGGTACTGTTAGTTTTTGCCAAAGAGGACAGTCAGAGCAGTGGGTTCTGCTGGGCCTGCGAAAAGGCCGACTTCAGCTGCAGCGTGGCCCGCACCCCCGAGTCTGCGCTGGAATGTCACCTGCAGAAGCACCACGACATCATCATCATCGACCACAGACATTCCAGATACTTTGACGCGGAAGCCTTGTGCCGGTACGTCTCTCCCGGACTGCACGGGAAAAGGCAGGATGATGTGAGAGAGGTCAAAGCGGGTATCGGGTTTGCTGGCGGGAGAAAAAAACTTGTGCTGAGTCATTATCCATAGGGTCCATATCTTTACCTCCCTGTTATAACTGAGTGAACTATTTTTAAATTCGTAGAGAATGTATATTTGGTTTTCCAAATAAAAATAACAGGACCATTCATTTTTAGAAACTTTTTGCTGTTATTCGTTGGAATGATGAATACTTTTTGCTGATGATGTAGTATGACCCTGTAAATGTCCCGGGGAGGTTAAACCGTGAATCAGGTAACAAGCTGAGGGGCCCCCACCACAAGCCAGGGATTTATCTGGCCCCTTTTCAGTCGTGTCTCCAAGCCCCCCCCACACCGCAAGACGCCACCGCTGCTCTGTCTTTAGGCCTCAAAACAAGTCTGCAAACGTGAGCATAATCCTGCCGCTATGCCTGCTGCACTGATTAATTCCCCCCGATCTATAGGTCGGGGGGGCCGGCCCCTCCGTCAGCGACCACTGAGAGAGCTTTATGGAGGAGCTGTGAACAGAGTGCTCTTTCAGGACCACGTCTGTTTACCGTCCCGGGACACTACCCACGAGAAGTGGGCCGTGAATAACCGGCGCGGCGCGGCGCTCACTCAGGGCCTCGCCTCCGTCCACCACTCTGATAAATGGCCTTTTTTTTCTTTCTTTCTTGATTTAGGTCAATTAGAGCTGTGAGCTTTTCGGAAAACACTGTGATTGTTGCCGTTGTGAAAAGGTAGGTGTGCGTCCGCCGGCACCCCTGCACCAACCCCCCCCCCCCCATACACCCGCAAGCTGCTGCGTCACACCGATCAGTGTCCAGGGAGAACGTCACCAAGAGCCACATGGCTATTCCTGTCCCACGACTTGCCATAGTTGTGTATCTGTAGTCACACAATTTCAGGGCTGTGGCTTGAATCCCGCAATCCAGACGTAGACAGTTAGGTGAATTGTGTGTGTGTGTGTGTGTGTGTGTGTCTGTGTGTCGCTCTTGGTGGCTGCCATCCCCCAGGGCGTCTCCTGTCTTGTGCCTCGTGTTACAGGCTGCCTGTAACCCTCTACTGTATAAACAGTTTTGCAAGAGTGACGATGGATGCGTGGCCGTGTTTTATATAGACACACATATATGGATAAAATATATATTCACTGTCCCTGTGCTGCTTGAGTATTGACATTCACTGTGCTTTGACAGTTGTGTGTTCTGTCGTTCTGTCAGGCCAGAGCGAGAGGAATCCTCGGTGATGCCTCTTATTACCGCGGGCTTCAACCGGGTGAGTGACACCCCTCCTTCGGCCATTACGTGGCACAAGCTGCCCCGATTCACTGCCTCGGGGGCCACTGCTGGATGTTTATTTACTGATTTTTTTAAATTTTTTATTTTTTTTAATTCTCGCCGGATGGACGGAGAGTGGCAGTGATGCTGTGATTGGCTTTGTCATTTTCCACGCCAAGGCTGTGCGGACAGACCTTGGACATCACAGTTATTTTTATGAGTTTATAATTAAACGGTGATCCTTTAAATAGTAGCACGGGGACAGAGCTGCGTGGGATGTGTGTCGGCTCGGTGCCGCACTGTCCTGGTGAGCATCACCCACCAGATTCTCCTCTGCCTGGCCGGATCTGGGCAGAGGCAAACTAGGCCAGCCCCTGAAAAGGTCGATCCAGCCCCACCCCTCTGATCACACGCTGGGGCTCGACGTAAGCCGACGGTCCCCAGGACAAAAACGTCACGGCTTTGACCGTAACGTTAAAGGAAAGTGCTTTGAAACCTCACTAATCACGCGTGGCGAGCGGGCAGCCTACCTGAGGGAGACCCAAATTAGATTGTGCACGTCAGGGTGTGCGTCACCCTCCCCTCAGCTGACGGCTTGTCCTTCCCGCCCGGCCCGCAGAGGTACGTGGAGAATCCCAGCGTGGCGGCCTGTTACAACGAGCTCCTGCAGCTGCAACACGGCGAGGTCCGCGCCCAGCTCAAGCTGCGGTGAGTCTCCCTGTGGGCGGCCGGGCGGCCGGGCGGCTCTGCACCCTGCCTGCATCCTCTGTCGCTCAAAACAAACCACCTTTCATGCTCCGTTTCATCCCTTTGTCCGAAAAAAACCCATATTTCCTGGCAACCATTTGAAAACGGTATAAAAACAGAACTATGGATACGTATATAAAGCCGTCCGACATAACAGTGCGTTGTTGTTTGTTGTAGTTGTGTGTGCATGTGTCCGTTCAGGACAATAGCTGCCACTCCCTGTCCTCTCTCCTCTCCCTCTGTCCTGGGGTGAAATAATCACTCATTTAATGGATAAACCCAGCCACCTGTCATCTGTGAGAAGCTTACGGTGTCCCCTTAAGGTGTCTGCTGTCTCGATTTTCGGCTTTTTCCATTGTCTGAAGTTTTTTTTTTATGTAAACATATTCATATTTACTTTGTCCCCCAGGGCCTGCAATGCTATTTTCACCGCGGTGGAGCAGAGTCAAGAGGCCATAGAAATCACAAGTGAGGATCAAGTGATCCAGGTTGGTTGTCAAAGAATCCACCCCTCCACATCCTTCAGCGTTCCACAGACAGTTTTCCTTCGACTGAAAGAGGTCCGTCCCAAAGAGGTCCGTCCAAAGATGAGACCCACCTACAGCGATCTCATGCATTGTGTGCAGTCGCTGAGGTTTATGTTTGTGTTTATATCAGTTTCTGTTTATTTACTTATTTTTAGCCTACAGTACCGACCCTGTGACCAATGGTATCAGTGATAATATCGCTGCTCCCTTCCAGCTCTTTCTCTTGCTTTTTTTTTGTCAGCCGCCATCACAGTGAGGACAAAGTATCTTATTTTTGCGCCTGTTTCCAGTCCCCCATGAAAAGGCCGCTTGTGTTCTCGGCAAACGCCCGTGACTAGCAGCAGTGGGGAAGGCCTGACTTCATCCATTACGCTGCGCCCCGGGAACAACTTTGCTGCGCTGGCTGGCGTTCATTGTTGTTTTTTTTTTTTTTTTTTTTTTTTTTTTTTTTAAAATTACCCCCGCCGCAGTACGTGAACCCCGCCTACGAGTCGATCATGGGATACCAGCACGGAGAGCTCATCGGGAAGGAGCTGCTGGAAGTGCCTAAAAGTGAGAAGAATAAGCCTGACCTGCTCGACTCCATCAACTCCTGCATCCAGATGGGCAAGGTGAAAGGCGCTATATTGTTGTGGTGAAAGGCGCTATATCGTGTTGATGGCATGTAGGCACCACTGCTGCTGTTTTTGACCTCCGGTTATGTTTAAATGTTGATTTCCACTTTCTCACCTGCCGGGGATGGAGCATATCCCCCCCCCCCCGCCTCCCCAAATCTTATGCTCCAATCATACGTGGTAAACTTGCTCGATCGCTGTCATGGCCTGCAGCCCCTCTTTTTATCGATTTCCCCCACCTTGGCCACTGGGGCAGCTGACGTACAGATCACGTACAGATCTCGGGGAGAGCTGCCAGGCCAGCACATCACGTGACGGGCCAAAAATTTGCCCGCCTTGAAAATGGCAGCTGATTGGTCAGCCAGTTTGTCTGAGGGGCGGGGCTGATTTATGGATTACTTCAGAGAACACAAAGGTCATTTGGAGCAGTGGGAAGGTGTTTTTGAAGCTGGCGTACCTCCCAGGGTGCTCTGACTTGAAAGGAGCCGGCCTCGTGCCCCCTTCACCGAAAAGGTCCTGCTCTCTTTGATACGTCCGCAGCGTCTGCCAGCTTCAAAAATCCAGACATTGTACTATTTATATATTTTTTGTTCCTTTGTAATATGATTAACATTTATCATCAATGTGTGTCTGTCCAGCTCGTGAAATCAAAATATATATTTAGTGGAGTACTTTGTTAGAGCAGTTCAGAATGGCTTCTTTATTTATTTATTTTTATGGGGCGGGGGGGCATTGGTAGAGTAGGGAATTGGCTGGGGCTTAAACCGGGGTAACTTTCAGGTTATAACCTGATGTACTTAACCACCATGCCCCCTGTTGCTCCCTTTTGGAAGTGCAGAGTGCAGCTATGAGTTAGTTACCCTGTTCCCCTTCCACTGCCATATCCTCAGGAGTGGCAAGGGGTCTACTACACCATGAAGAAGAACGGAGACAGCGTCCCCCAGAGCGTGAAGATCACACCTGTAATTGGACAGGGAGGGTGAGTCACTCGGCTTTCCTTTTGCGGTATAACGAGCTAGAACATTCACGTGTGTAATATTATGTCGTATTATTTTTTTCCAGAAAGATCAGACACTATGTGTCTGTTAACCGGCCGTTAAACGACAATAATAAGGTGAGACCTTATTTGTAAGAATTTAATTTGGTGAGTTTGCTCACTGAGAAGTAAAAAGCTCCCCTCCCCCCTCTAACCTAGACGGACAAGTCATGTGATCGCGTGCAAGCGGAGTCGCAGACAGGTAAGACATCCGCCGAGTGACGGCCGGGTATCCAGCTGAGCCCGCGGCGTCAACGCCGTCCAACGCTGTCCAACGCTGTCATCTCCCTCCCTCTGTCCCCAGACAACCAGTCCTGCAAACACAAGGACCGGAGGAAAGGCTCATTAGACGTGAGGTCAACCACATCTCGTGGGAGTGACGGTGAGCGATACTCAGTGGGGAGAGTCACCCTTCTTCGTTATCTCTACCGGAGGTGATGACGAAATCGGACTTCTGTCATTTTTGTCATTGTCGCGTCTTTTCACATCACAGGAAGTTCCCAGAGGCGCCACTCTTCCATGGCGAGGATTCACTCGATGACCATCGAAGCCCCAATCACCAAGGTCGGTTTGTTCTGTATCTCATCACTGGAAGCGTGTCGTGTTTGACGCTCGGTTCCTCCGCGTCGCCCTGGAGACGCAGGTTCCCACGGAGCTGATCTCCCGTGTGCCTTCCCCGCATCCAGGTGATCAACATCATCAACGCGGCCCAAGAGAGCAGCCCGGTGCCAGTGGCCGAGGCCCTGGACCGCGTGCTGGAGATCCTGCGCACCACCGAGCTCTACTCCCCCCAGCTGGGGACCAAGGACGAGGACCCCCACACCAGCGACCTGGTCGGGGGGCTGATGACGGTGGGTCTTCCCCAGGTCCCCGCTGGAGTTCTCCTGGGTGCTAGTCAGGCATGATGTCATGTTCTCCCAGGTTGACTCCAAGAACCATCAGTATAAGCATGAAGGTCCATGCTGCAGGAGGCCAGAGGAGAATCTCCAGAGTCATTTATGGAATCTGTAAAGCCTTGTTGTGTCATAATTTTTGGCAGTTTTTTTCTGCCTCAGTTTTGCATTTTTGGGGAGGGGCAGATGCTCAGTACGACCTGTTCCTGAGGTCCTGTTAGCGTTTATGACTTTCTGTAAGCCCTCAAATACATAGCTGAGAGGCACAAAGAATGGCCTGTTTTCCTTCTCTGTCTTAAACGCTCACTCAAAGGTCTGGCCTCCAAGCAGAGGTCGCTGCCATGTGACCTGAACGTCGTAATTTGTTGATGGATCGCAGTCGGCTGGAGGCAGCCGCCTGCGTGGCGTAGCGGGGAGCGTGAAGTGCTGCCTTCTGCGCGTCAGAAATGGCGTCCCCTGTGACACCCAGGGAGGCTTTGGTGCCGTGGATCGCGCCGCCGGAGCCACGCTAGGGCTCTCCTCTCACGCTACACCACGTGTGTATCCAGGAGAGGGAGAGAGAGCGGGGAAAGGGGGCGGCACGCAGGCCGTGGACGGCCCCGGCAGGGGAGACAGCGGGTGCCAAGTTGGCAGTCTTGGCCGCAGCCCCAGAGGAAACGCTAGATTGTCCTTTGTACTTTGCTGGGCCAGAGAGGAAAGAACTCGCCGCTTCCACACCACAGAAGGCTTTCAGATGAGCCTCTTCCTCTGAATTCCAGTAGCTTGGAAACATCCTGTTCTTAGGTGGACTCGATGAACAAGCGTGGCAGTACGCAGTGGGACAGTGGGATACGGAGCTGGAGTGGGTGCGGGGGGGGGGGAGGAGTGGGGGTATATGAGAGTGCAGTGTTGGTGTGTGAGCTGTAACGCTTAAAAAAGCTGCTCTGCCCTGTGCCACATCATTAAAGAACAGATCACCAGCCAGTTTGCATTACTGGGGTTTATGGACTTAGAAACGACTGAATGTTTCCCGGGTTGTGGAGAGGAGGCCTAAAAGCCAGAATTATGACGCGGCCGCTGAATGAGACTGCGAGCGGGTGACAGACGAGTTTTTTCGCTTCCCCTCTCCCTGTGGCTGCCCAAGCGATGCGGTACATCAGAAGTACCTAACCACATTCCCCACATCCAGGAAGATGGGAGTTTCTTGGATAACGTTATTTCATGTCCGCAAGTGGGTAGAAATGCGTGTTGCAGGGAATGCATCCTATGGCGTAGGTGTCCTGAGTTTGCCAGGGTCTGGGTTGTGTTAACATCGATCACAGTCCGCTCAGGCTGCCGCTCTTTGGGGGCTTAAGGGGGAAAACGGCTTTAATAAGGGAAAGTGAGAAAACCACAACTGACGTCCAAATGGGTTTTTCTCTTCTGCAGGATGGTTTACGGAGGCTGTCAGGGAACGAATACATCTTTGCTGCAAACAGTAAGAGTCTCGATACTCCAACTTCCTTATTTTATAATGACTGTATGTAAGGTTAGGATCCCACAGTACTCTAATTTAAATGTACAAAGGTCATCACCCTCATTTAAATCTACGTAGCTTTTACACTGTTGAAATGTGGCTTTCTCATCCAGCTCGCTGTTGGTGAAATGAGAAGATAGGGGAGTGAGACCAGTAACGTCTCTGGCATTTCCCAGAATGCCATACTATCAAATTATCGGACCCTTGTGATTCATCTTAATGGTCTCGGGGCCAGGATTAGATAGCCCATTCACACAAGCTGGAAATGATTGATTTGCGTAGCACTTAATGATTTTACATAATGTTTTCATGTGGTATTTTTGATTCTAAACGTCAGTTTTTTTTACTTGCACACTAATATACATACTGTACAGTACTTCACAGCAGGCACCCTAAAGGGGGGGGTCACGACTGTGAGATGATTTCCAGAGTATGTTTATTAAAATTTTAAAACTCTATTGTTTAAAACTCTACTAAAAATTCTACTGTTACTGTGACCGCAACCGGTCAATTGCGATAAGCAGACCACCGCCCGCCCCCCGCTCCTGATTGGCCAAATCAACCAAGGGGACCCCCAATGGTCCCTGGTGATGTTATTTTGTGGATCTTTGGCTGAACCCATGCTATACATTATGACATGCATCTGGTTACTCACTCACGTAGTTATTTATCTGAGCTGTGTGCTTATGTCATGCGTGTGCGTGTGTGTGTGTGTGTGTGTGTCTGTACACTCCCGTGTGCACAGAGCCTCACCACCTCCCAAGCCACTTGAGCACCCCGCTGTCGCTCGGCGACATCCCTCCCCGGATCGCTCAGACCATGGAGAACGAGGAGTCCTGGGACTTTGACGTCTTCACTCTGGAAGCAGCGACGATGAAACGGTGAGAATGGCAGCATATGCAGGTCGTCACGTAGCTTGGAAACGTTTTCCCCGGCGTGCTTATGGATGGGGCCTCCGTCTCCTCTTCAGGTCAGTTGTGATGTCAGTTATAAGGAGAGAAGGACACGCATTCGAAGTCTCCATCTGCTTCAGCCATCTATTCATATTTATTTCACACAATGAGCCTGGAGACCAGAAGTGGGGAAAATCAGGTCCAGAGAGAAAAAGTCCAGGTCAAGATTTTGTTTCAACCAACCAGTTGAGCATAAAGAATCACACTCATAGAGTACAACTGGTTGGTTGAAACAAAATTTTGGTCTGGACTTTTGCTTTTTGGACCAGAATTACCCACCTCTGTTGGAGACTAACTCGGGAAACGGAGAGGACATTCTGGATAGGATGGCAGTCAATTATTTTTAGATATTACCTCATCGATCCATAAGGTATCACTGTGTTCTTTAGATCAAACGATGTTGACGTTGGATGTCTGCTTTCTTGTATCTTTTTCAGACCCCTGACCTATTTGGGACTGAAGATCTTTTCAAGATTTGGGGTCTGTGAGTTCCTCGGCTGCCCAGAAGCGACCCTTCGGTCCTGGCTGCAGGTGATCGAAGCGAACTACCACTCCAGCAACTCCTACCACAACTCCAGCCACGCCGCGGACGTCCTGCATGCCACCGCGTACTTCCTGTGCAAGGAGAGGGTCAAGGTGAGTTCACAACTGTCTCTTTCCACTGACATTTTGCATTTTTTTTCTGGACTTTATTTGAACTATCCCAAGAGTATAGTTGACCTGCAGTCATGACTGGATTATGGATGGGGGCAGTCGGGGCCAGGGTACTAGGCTGGAGGGGCCTTCGGAGCTCTAGTGACCGTGAGTCACAAAATTCATAGTGTAAGCTAACCACTATGACCCTCATGTACAACGTGAAATGATTATGCAGCCCCGCAGCATATACAGCTAGAGCTGACCACCAGGGGCCCCAGGGCCCTTTGCCATATACAGCGCAAATGAACCACCAGGGGCCCCAGGGCCCTTTGCCATATACAGCGCAAATGAACCACCAGGGGCCCCAGGGCCCTTTGCCATATACAGCACAAATGAACTAACAGGGCCCCTGGGGCTCTTTCCACACACAATGCCCCCCCCATATCCAGACCTTTTATGTGTTATGCTCACTGTCCCTGTATGTCCCCATCGAACCCATTACTGTGGGGCACCCAAAAGACGGACCCCAGGGGCCTCACAAGACCATGATCCGACTCTTCCAGGGTTTTTGATGGCAGCAGAAATTAACTACTTAAAATCCTGCATAATATCATACAAAGTCAAGTGTGTGTAGTTCAGATTCAGAATGAGTCAACATTCTTTTTACATTATCATAATTCAACACTTACGTGTGCAGTGCAAGGGGATCAGAAGTCTGTGAGGTGAAGAGATTCATTTCCCAGACTCCTATCAAACGGCAATAAAATATATTTAGGTAAAGGATGACAGAGGCCCCTGGGCTTCTGGACTTTGAGCTGGAGAGCAGAGAACATCTCGCAGTCATGTCTGCTGTCTGGTCATGTGGTCTCCTACTGCTGACTACTGAGAAGTGAAATAGAGTAGAGGTACCCAGAGAAAGGCGACGATTGAGAGAAAAAGAGGAACTCGGCCTGGGAAGGCCACACAACGCAAACAAAGAGACGCGCGCACACACACGACCGAAAGCCGGCTCGACAGCTTGTGGTAATCGATGTGTGAGGTGTGATAGTTGGCATATGCCCCACGCCCTCTTTTACAGCAAAGCCTGGACCCCATCGACGAGGTGGCGGCCCTGATCGCCGCCACAGTACACGACGTGGACCACCCGGGCCGCACGAACTCCTTCCTGTGCAACGCGGGCAGCGAGCTGGCCGTCCTGTACAACGACACGGCCGTGCTGGAGAGCCATCACGCCGCCCTGGCCTTCCAGATCACCACCCGCGACGACAAGTGCAACATCTTCAAGAACATGGAGAGGTCGGTGCGCCGTTGGGGTGTGGCAGGCCGCGGACAGACCTTCGTTCAGCGTTGTGGTTTTTTTTGCTCTGAAACGTTGGTGTGAGGCTTTGGCGGTAAGCGATCGCGAAAGGGGAAGTTAGAAAAGCCACTTAGTGACGCGTCCAGCTGGCATCGTCTCACGTGCTGTTTGTGCTGTGATGTGGAGAATCAGGGTTGTAAGAAGGACTGTGTCAGTTCTGTACGGAAAGCTGGTTTACCTTTAATTCATGTCTGAGGGATATCAAATTCAGTTCTAACTAATTAGAATGCAAGTTCTTGATATCAGAAATTCAGTTGCAACTAGTTATAATACCGATTCTTGTTACAATTAACTAGTTGCAGTTGAGTTCCTGATATCAGGAACTGGCATTTTGTCTAGTTCAAATTCCAGCTGCCATTGAAATGAATGAGAAAAATGTTTTGAACCTCACTAGTTCTGATGTCAGGAACTGGCTTTTTACCTAGTTAAAGCTGTATTTCCGTTATGAATAATATGCATTTTATCTAGTTAAAGTCAAATTTCTGACACCAGAAATACACATTATAACTAGTTACAGTTGAATTTCTGATATCAAGAACTTTACATTCAAGCTAGTTAGAATTGAATTTCTGATATCCTCTAGGAATTAATTAAAACTAAAACGGCTTGCCATAGCTCTGAGGTATTTGAGGTAGTTGTCAGTAATTATAGGTATTGAAGAATTTATTTAAAAGTGTTTTGCATGAATGGATGCATATGTGTTACATTTGGGAGTGATAAAAAGTGCAAAATATGTACAGTACTGTTGTTGCCAAGCAACAAAATATAGAAGAGCAATAAATAACTACACAGGGAAGGACAGTAAAACATTCCGAATAAAAGGCGGTTTTAAGAACATAAGAAATTTACAAATGAGAGGAGGTCATTCGGCCCATCAAGCTCGTTTGAGGAGAACTTAACTAATAGCACATAGTTGTTAAAATCTTATCTAGATCTGATTTAAAGGAACCCAGGGTTTTAGCTTGTGCTACACTAGCAGGAAGACTATTCCATACTCTAACTACACGCTGTGTAAAGAAGTGCTTCCTCAAATTCATTTTAAAATATTCTCCCGCTAATTTCCACTTTTACTGGATAACGTTTAATAATTATTTGGCACATATAATGCTTGCATGCTAAACATGTACAAAATAAGGCTGCTGTTCCATTGTAGAGAAGCGTCCATTATTTATTACTTTTCTATGTATCACAGTTTTAATTTCATTCCAAGTTACCCGTGATTCCCTTAGAATTGTTTAAATCTCAGCAGGGAATCCTGACACCCTAATGCATGCTGCTCAACAGTCTTTGGGAGACGTGGTTCCGCTTCGACTCACTTGTGTCCTAACCCCTTTAACGCAGGAATGAATATCGCACGCTCCGACAAGCCATCATCGACATGGTCCTGGCCACAGAGATGACCAAGCACTTTGAGCACGTCAACAAATTTGTGAACAGCATCAACAAGCCGTTGGCTGCTCTGGAGGAGAGCGGGGTGAGTTCAAAAGGATCGGGGGGGAGGTGGGGGGGAGTGTTCCATAGAGATTTCCACAACATTTCTCAGTTAGCAGTCATGATTGTCCAATAGGAATGCTCCTTACAATTTGAATTGGAAATTCTAATTGGACAATCATCAGCAAGTTAACCCAGCTAACTGAGAAATCCTGTTTCATGGAACACCCCCCTGCTCGCTAATTCCAAATTAGGGTCTCCGGGTGGCAGTGAGTGATTCCTGGTACTCTGGTAGCTCTCCGGTGATTTAAATGTGGCCAGTGCAGCCCATGTGCTTAGATTCCCTGTAAGGCTTGTGGTTTATGGGGATCCTGCAGAAAACGAGAAATTCGTGTTTCGGTGCATCAGTGGATTGCAGCTAAATGTTAACGATTGACGGCGCCTCAGAGCGGCTCCCCCTGGAAGACAGGAGAGGTAGACGTTGCTCCTCTGGCCGCCTGTTTGTGGTGAGAATTTTACAAGCTGGTACCAGCTTCGTCAGCCCAGTGTGGAATTCACTCAAAGGACTTTTTAAAGGAACCTGGAGCTTAATAAAGGTATCTGTGGATGTCTCTTGGGCAGTGTTTCCCAATCTGATCCTTGGGGACCCACAGACAGTCCACATTTTTACTCCCTCCCAGCTCACAGTAAAATGTGAACTGTCTGGGAGGGAGCAAAAACGTGCACTGTCTGTGGGTTCCAGAGGACTGGATTAGGAAACACTGCTCTAGGAGACAGTTACTCTAAAAAGAGTTACTCTGAAACGGACTTCAAGAAAGTTCTAATAAGTCATACATTTTTTTGCTTTTTCAGTCCTATCGGCCCGCATTTTGTCATCAGCCTAACGTTTTTAATTTTGCTTTAATGGATGTATAATCTTGAATTCTCTGCTCTCGGCTGTTGGCTTACAGGGGAACGGAGATGAGGATTCAGTGAAAGGCATCTTGACGTCTCCGGAGAACCGGATCCTGGTGAAGCGCATGCTGATTAAGTGTGCAGACATCTCGAACCCGTGCCGACCCCTGGAGCTGTGTATCGAGTGGGCGGGGCGCATCTCAGAGGAGTATTTTGCGCAGGTAATGCAACTGCAGGCCTGCAGTGTTGACAGCAGGGGTGGGGGGCAGATTAGACATGCCACTGTTGAAGAAATCCATAATGGGGTGTGTATGTAAATAAAAACGAAATACCTGTGACCCGGGAATCCTGCTATAATGAAATAAGCCACTGTTGTTCTGCTGCGGATCAGCTCAAACTGGCAAACTGCGTCCCAGCTAGCCCAGGAGTCGCTGACGGTCATTGGCAGACTGTCCTCCAATCAGATCTGGTCTCTGCCACTCACTGGCACATGATTTGCAGAGCGAACGCGGAAGCAGATTGGCAGGACCGCTAATGGTGGCCGTGGAGAAGAGAGAAAACTGAGAAGCGTGCAACCTTAGCCTCCTAAAAAAAGAAAAACAGATACAAATAATTTGTATATATGTATAAACAATAATAAAGGGGCGTGGTGGAGTTGGAGGACTGAGGTGTTTGCAGGCTCCCTGATATGCCGCTCTGCTCTCTTACCGCCCAGACTGACGAGGAGAAGACAGGGTCTCCCAGTAGTGATGCCCGTGTTTGACAGAAACACCTGCAGCATCCCAAAGTCCCAGATCTCCTTCATCGATTACTTCATCACCGACATGTTCGACGCCTGGGACGGTGAGTAACGTTCACTGTGGTAACGAGGATGCTAACCTATAATGATTTGAGCTACTTAACGAGTCATGCAACGCCTGTGTGATGAGTTATAATGCTGTCGCATGCACTGAATAACGCTGTCACATGCACTGAATAACGCTGTCACATGCACTGAATAACGCTGTCACATGCACTGAATAAAGCTGTCACATGCACTGACAGCGCGCTGTCACATGCACTGATAACGCTGTCGCATGCACTGAATAAAGCTGTGACATGCACTGCATAACGCTGTCACGTGCACTGAATAAAGTTGTCACATGCACTGCATAACGCTGTCACGTGCACTGAATAAAGTTGTCACGTGCACTGCATAACGCTGTCACGTGCACTGCATAACGCTGTCACGTGCACTGCATAACGCTGTCACACGCACTAAATAACGCTGTCACGTGCACTGCATAAAGTTGTCACGTGCACTGCATAACGCTGTCACGTGCACTGCATAACGCTGTCACGTGCACTGCATAACGCTGTCACATGCACTGGATAACGCTGTCACAGGTACATATAATAGTATATAATAATGTGGCTCATTGCCTTCATTCATAAATGAAAAAAATGCTAAATGTCAGTTTGAGGTTAGCGAAAATAAAGATTTAAAATTATTTAAATGATTATTATTGGATGGGAAATAAGTCCATAACCCAGGGGCCCCTGGACCATGGGGATCAGCACCTTGGAATGCAGTTGCACAGATGCTGATTTCAAGCTGACGCTGTTTTGCTGACTTTGAATTGCTTTGGTCCTGCTGTTGCTGCCTCAGCTTTCGCAGACCTGCCCAACCTGATGCAGCACCTGGACAACAACTTTAAGTACTGGAAGGGCCTGGACGAGCGCAAGCTACACAGCCTACGTCCCCCTCCCGAGTAGACGAGGGGCCTCCGGCAGCCGGCCGCGCTCCCCCCACACCGCGGGGCCTTCCCCATACCTGCCTTCGGCGGAGCCTCGACCGCATCGCGGCGGCCTGTGCGCCCCCCCGCTCCGCGAGGACTCCGTGCCCCGCTTTTGTTACAGCTCCCCACCCCCTCCCAGCATACCTTTGCACTCACCCCTCAACAGAGAGAGAGAGGGAGAGAGAGAGAATGGACAGAGAGACTGCCGTCGCTTGGCAGACTGCATAGAAGACGGAACAGATTCATTTAAAACAACGAAAGGAAAGTTAACGGGATAAGAGCTGGAACGATTGGGAGCTGTGGGGGGGCATGGAGGGTCACATGACCCACAGGGGGACAGCACTTGGGGAAACAGACTTGTGCCAGAAAACTTTGCTTGAACTTTGCACCTGGGCAGAGACTAAAATGGTTAAAAAAAATTTAATGTAAAACAAAAAAAAAAAACAGACTGGATTTTACGCAGTGGTCTCGTCCCACTTGGTCGCAACTGAAGCACTGCCCAGAAGGGGGCGACGGTAAGGAAACCTCAGATGGCCACAGAGAATACCTGACGCCTTAGGCTGGGGGGGCCACACAAATGACAGGGTCATATTCTCACTACAGAACTGTTTTGCACCTTCACTTTTTTCTTTGGTGTACAAGCCTGCCAGTTCTACGCTTTGGGAGGGTTTGTAGCAGTGGGAAGTGATCCTGAGCGTGGGGGGAGGGGCTATAATTATACAACGAGTACGTAGGATGTGGAATTCGTTAGGTTTGTTCATTCTGAAAGACACAGCAAACCTTCCTGAGCTAATCCCCGGCGTCCGCATATAGAAGTTATGGTGTATTTATTTTGACTTAGGTGTTCAGTATTTTCCATAAATTTCTATGTGATAAACAAATAAAATAGGTAAATTAATGAGTTTAAGAGCAAGAAATAAAAGCCAAAGCTTATTAACTGGACCGTTACGATACGAGTCATATCCATAAAAGCGTAGTTTTGTTTTACTTCTTAAAATGAGAACGACACCATTTATATTGCACTGTAAGACTACAATACACATGTCTGAGCATGTCAGAGGAGCCGGTCAGAGGTTTGGGAGAATTCTGTACCGTCACCACCGCCTCCGTCTCTGAGCATGTGCCCTGCGCGCCTCACCTGCGCCCTCCAAGCAGTGTCACTCCGCAGCAGTGCTGGGGCCCACAAGCTCTCCAGCAGCAGAAGAAAATCTGGGAAAAGTTCCGGACTTGAAAGATTTTTTTTTCCCTCCTGGAGATTTTTGTATCTGGTTTATCCTACTGAAAAGACTGCCTTATTTTATACAATATTTATACATCCCACTGTGTGAATGAAGCAAGAGCGTGTGGACTTTTTAATAATTTAGGCAAAAGTAATAATCGAACAAATTGAAATATTTTTGTAGACTACATCTTTTACACTGGATTGACAAAGGTGATTATGAGTGACGGTCTCGATCTCTGCGGCGACGTTTCTCTGCAGTTTGACAGGCATTTCAGTCACAAAAGAGACAGGAAAAAAAAAATATCGGGGGTGAAACAAAGAGGTGTGTCTATCACTGTCTGATGCCAGTCTGTGCTCCGTGTCTTTTGATTTCATCATTTTACATCGGCTTTCGGCGTCAGTGCCCAGAAAGACCTTTCATCCACAGTTAAGAGACAGAAACGTGTGTAAGAATATCTGTTAATGAAATGATGTCCTATTTTTAATTTAAATGTTATATAAATATGCCAATATGCATACATAAGCCTACATAAGTCAATATGATATATTGACATAGAGTTTTTTTTTTCTTTAGACAGAAGTGTACACTACATCGGGATTTGTATGTTCAGTCTGATTCACTTGTACTTCTGGTCTGAGAGCACCAAAAAAAAATTTAAAGAGAGAAATATATGAAGGCAAATAAAATAATGACAATTAATACTTTGCATTATGTTTGTGTAAAAATCACTTCCTGGTACTATATGCGACTTTCACATTTAAGGCGTCTGGTACTTTTTTTTTTTTTTACATGTCTATGTCATGTTTGCATCAATGAGGAATCCATTAGTCCTAAATAGAAGATTAATACAGAGAGAGTTTTAACGTTGGTAACCATGAGTGTACTGCTGTTGCACCTGGTATCACACCAGCTTCGTTTGCCGTGGGTTGGCTCTGTGCTGAATTTGAAGTTGATACAGACCCCAGGAACAGATAAATGTTGCCGACAGCTGGAATGTCTTCTCGCAGGTTTGTGAGACCGTCTTGCACTCCAGGATCTCTGATGAGGGGGGGGGGGATCCCAGCCTCCCAGTATCCAGGGCGTTGTGGGCAGCTTGTCCCCGTCAGGTGATGGATGGATGGAAGCCAGTAGTGGAGAAGTCGGCTCTTTGAGCGAATAATGGTGAAGAACCAGGATTAAATCCATCAGTCCTACCTTCTGTTCTGAAGGGGACAAGAAGCATGATGAGAGAAAAATCACAAGGATTGTTACTGAACGCCAGCCAGCCAGTACAACTGGATTTGCTTGATGTGATGACCTTTGACCTCCCGTACGAATCCTCCAACTTAGCCATACCAAAATATTCCTCCTAAAGATATGAAATTCCACAGGAGTTTGCCTGACACTGACTGGGATTGCTTTCCTCTGCCCCCATGCAGGCTGGTGTGGTGTATTTGCGCAATAAGCCATGTGATTCTGCCACCAGAGAACAGCCTGTACTGCAAACAGCAGGCCAGGGGCCTGTCGGGGTTTTGCTGAGCTTGACGTTTTGAGATTTTTTCTAGTTTGCGGAGCCTGCGGCTCGATTTGTCCTCAAAAAAAAAAAAGTGAAAACACGATTTATCATTTGCTATGAAAATTATTTTAATTTGTTTGCGAACTTTGTGGGGAGGCGTGGGGGCTGCCATTAAAAGAAGCATTCATTAGAGTCTTTCTCCTATGCCTGTACTTATGCACCTGTAATTAAGGTGTTTTTCAATTCCAGCTTGAAAGTCTAGCACTAGAAGGAAGCAAGATTTCATATTTAGTTTTAAAAACAAGAGAAGAAACTGATGAAATAGAAACTGGGTCTTTACTAAATGCCACAAATAGATTTCAGACGGTAAGTATATTTTTCCATACAAGTTTCAACCAGGTATTTGGTACAAGGTCATGAAGTGTAAATTCTCAATTAGATAAAATTAGATTAAAAAAATATATATGAACATAAAGTTTGGTTTATAATTTCTGTAATTGTTTAACAATATTCCAGTGACCAGAGCCAACAAAGTTTGCAAAAATGTCCCATTGTCCTGTAAATGACTACAGCAATGTTTGTTGTATCCTTCCTGCTGGCTGGCAGCTGGCCCACAGTGGCTGGGATCATGTGATCTGGTCAGTGAGCTTGGTTGTATCTTTCCACCCCAAAGCTTTGTTCATGGGCGTACAGGAGCAGAGTATCGAACAAAGACTGTCAGCACTGCCGTGATAACAATTACATTCCCTTAGCAGTCAGAAATGCTTTTTGTGCCATGAAAAAAAATATCAAGACGCTGACTTTTCCTACGAAGGATGCTGAATAGAACCATAACATACAGTATGGCAATGGGATGGAAAAATGAGGATATCATTAGGGCACGGGAGAGACTTGGGTTTGACAAATTGGTGGATAGGAATGAAAATGAATGAAACGCATATTGCTTTTACAGTAAAACAAAAAGGCATCAGGTTGTGACATGCAGTCTGGGCTTGAGGCATGAATCTGAAGTCCCTTCTGTATTTTTAGTAATTATGCTCTGGTGACAATGACTTCATCATGCAGCTTTACCCCCATTGCCATCTTAATATAACATATTCATTAACATAAACATAATTTAAAAGATAATTACAGGTAATCACATGAATACAACTGCAGTTGCCTTTTAATATAAAATTATGAGTCATGGAATATGGGCTCACAGACCTGTCTAATAGGAGTGAATTAATCAAACATAATTACAGATACACAGAGTGGAGCCTAGGGTGTACTACTGCATAAGTGAGCACCCCCTACTGGTGGGCCAGGCTGCTGACAAGGCGCTGTGCTACAGTGCTGCAATCTGCATCCATGTCAGGGAGGGCTCATCAGAGCCACGTCATATCGAACCTGGGGTGTTAAGGACCCTAATTAGCCAAATCTTGTTTCGCTATAGCTGTACAAGGACCATTTAAGATGGTTCTTTATCTTTATTTTTGCTGATGTTTGAATCTGAGAAAATATGGTTTCTTTAATCGAATTGATCCGCAATCCGTTACATATTTAACGTCTAATCGAATATATCTAATTACTCATTCCGTTGATTGATGTAACATATACACAAATGATTACGCCAAAAAACTGAAAAATGCGATGCTGTCTAAACAACCACATTACCCCAACCTGGGGCTTGTATCATGAATTTCTTGCTTAGCCGGATAACGTATCATATTTAAGGTGCCCCAGTTTAAAATGACTATCTTCGTTTACTGCAAAAAGTCCGGACTACTTTAATCCGACAAGTTGTCCGGCTAAGCAGGAAATCTAACTTCGTGAAACAAACCCTGGATGATAATATTGTAGGACAGATTTATGTCGTTTTACACGTTGGCCACTAGATGTCATGATTTTAAATGCAGTTTTGCATTTTCTTTTCAAATGCTATTTGAATACAAATAATTGCCTTTATTATAAATTATGCTGTGTTTGAGTCGTGTGCGTGGGGCTCTTTGTTCTCCCAGAAGGGCAGCAGTGTGCAGGCGATAGAGGACCCGGAAGCTGCGGCTTTTCTATCCGCAAGAGTTTTGTCAGCGCCAAATGCAAGGAGCTGCTCGCTGTGGGCACGTGTTTTTGGAGTCTTATATTTCATCTAAAAAAGTGTCCATTCACGCTTTTGAACAGATAGACACTTCATTCTTTGGTAATTTGGTTACTGTATTTTAAATAATTGATTGGACGACGCTAAAAACATAGTTAATAACTTTACTGCTTAAAAAAACGCTACTGAAAGCGCAGCCACTAGGGGCGCAGTCTGAAGCACGTCATTGCTCGTGCACGCCTTACGTAAGTCGTGACGCGCTTCCGGTCTTTGTGTCGCCTGCTGGCGGCGAAGGAGTGCCACCGTTTGGAGAGCTCCTGTCCCCGGTGCGTCTCTGCTTCAGTGCGCCCGGCAAACGAAGACCGTGACTGAAGCGCAATCGCACGATAAAATGGCTTCTGGCATGGCGGGACAGACATCGTGAGTATCTGCAGTTGTGACGCCCTTTGAACTTAAACCCAATGGCTGGTTGGCCTCCCGAGCGGCTCGGGCTGCAGATAGGCCCGGGGTTTTAGCGAAGCACACGCCAGTATCTGCTAACTTTAATTTCCTCTCAGGTTAAAAAAGTTGCTACTTTTTAGTTTCGTTTAATGGGATTCGAGTGTGTTGCGTCACCGAGGTCTATATTATAACTAGCCAGCGACCGTAGATACTCGTCTGCTTTCGGTGGTTTTCTGATTTATTTGTTTGTGACTGCCTACTTGTTATGTAATACGCCTCTCTGCTTCGGGCTGACCGAGGTACTCAGTACTGTGCTGGAAGTGGTGGTTTTCGGTAGTTAATACTGCATATTCGTCTGCTCTCCTGCCCGCTTCCGTATTGCGTTTGGGAGCTAGGCAACGATGCTTGCATGTTGAAAAACTTGTCTGTTTGGTTGCGTGGAGGGGAAAGAAAGCAGTCATTGTACAGTTATGGTGTTCTGCTGATACTACCCTCCTATAGAAAGTACCTGTAGAACCAAGAACAGGCCGGGATGCTTATAGAAATGCGTCGAGGCCTACTTGCTCTACGGACAGGGCCAGATCCTGCTATGGGACAAATAGGCTCAAGTTTGGGTAAGAATATTTCAAGTAGTCGTGCTTGTTCTCACAGGTGTCTTAATAGTCGATGGGACCAGCCTGGCCCCGCTGCTGATATGCTGAAGGGCCTCTTTGGAAACATTTCCACTTCCCTCACGACGCAAGTAGCCTCTCTGCCAAGTTACACCGGTGGGTGTTTGGCATCCAGTGCCACAAATGGCTTAACGCTGGCTGGTGGCATGGGGTCCACAGCGCCACCCGTCACGTCTCAGCCGACCCCTACATCTCCGGAGGAGGAGAAGCCTTCGGGAGGCGTAGAGATGGCCGCTGCCATGGCCGCCAAAATTAACGCTATGTTGATGGCCAAAGGGAAGCTGAAGACCCCCCCGCCGCTGCACTGTAAGGTACTGCACCAATGTGTCCCTTCAGGCTGCCTTTCCAGCCCCGTGATATGTGATCAGTCCTTAACACACCCCATGTTCTCCCTGCCCCAGGTTGCCCCCCGTATAACAGTAGCCAGTACTGCCAGCGAGTCGGTCGTCACCGAAGTGGACATTAACGACGTTCCCATAAACTGCCGCAACTTGCTAACTAAAGGGAAAACTCAGGAAGAGGTGAAGTCCAACTCCCTTGAGCTTTTATCTTTATGTTTTTGTTTGGTGGTGTGGAAGAATAATTAGCTTAGCATTAGTGTAAATTGGTGTGATGCGCCTTTTTCAGATTCGCCAGTATAGTGGAGCAGTGGTATCTACAAAGGGGCACTACATGACCAGTGCCGAAAAGGCCCAGTGTAAGAGCGGGTATGTGTCGTCCTGAATACGCCTCACATTTGCGTGTTAATCGGTAATGGTTAATGAGCCGTGTTCCTTTCTTTCAGAGACCGTCCATTGTATCTACACGTTCAGGGAAAGAGTCAAGAGGAAGTTAGCAGTAAGATGTTTGCATTTTCGGGGGGAGGAATCGTCGCGTTTAAAAAAAGTGTTAACTCATTCTGTTCATATGTTCCACAGAGGCGGTGAAGCATATCAAAGAGATAATTTCAGAGGACATCTTGCGGTCTTCGGCAGGGCAGAGCAGACCCGTGATGCCCACACTGCCTGTTTACACGCAGCCAC